TATGATGATATTTCTGATAAAATAGTGCTATATTAATGATATTCACTAAAAAAATATGTTAAAAAAAGAATTGGTGCAGGAAACACTGCCAAAGAGAGTATTAAAATATTATAAAATTAATTTTATGAACAAAAATTTAACATTTGAAAAACTTATCATTTGCTTATAATTAACTTCCCGTAGGATAAGTTATTGTAATGGGTCGAAAATCGAAATTGAAAATTTTTGCATTTCTCGACGTTTTGAAGGTTTCTGAACATTTTGGCATACCTCAGAAAAAATGGATGTGTGTGTGTGTATGTATGTATGGATACAAATTTCCAGTCACGTTTCCGGGCGCACGGATCAACCGATTTGAATGGTTCAAAAAACATTCGATTTCTATCGATAGGAAAAAGAGCTGATTAGTTTTTGGCAAAGGCAGGTCCTGTCGTTTCGGAGATACGGAGCAAAGAATGCAGAAAATAGAAACAGAGTTTTTGAGAGAACGGATCATCCGATTTTTATGATCCAAAAAATATTTAGTTTGTAATGACGGGGAAAAGTGGTTATTAGTTTTTGGCAAAGATAGACCCAGCGGTTTCGGAGACACAGAGCTAAATGTTAAAAAATGGCAGTTTTTGAGAGAACTAAGCGTCCAATTTAAATGATTCAAAGAACTTTCAGCTTATTTTAACAAAATAATTGATTTTGGAAAAAAAATGTATTTTTTTTTTTTTAGTTTTTTTGTATATGAAATAATTCAGATTTTATTTTTAATTCTGACTAAATTTATAATATACTTTAAACAAATAATTCAAACTGTGCAATTCAGTTTATATAAATCTAAATATTAGACAATGTTACAATATTTATAATAATTTATTTGAAAACATTCAGTATTCCTTGAACATTTCGTTACGGTACGGGAAGTTCCAGCAATTTGCCTTAAGGCACGATGCCTTAATTGCCTCAAGACAGAATTCCACTTACAGCTAGTTTAAAAACGAATCGAATCTATTAATTGGGAAGAAATCCAAACTTTGAATTTCGGAATAGATTTTTTTGTCTTGGAACCAAATAAAATTAACTATAACTAAATAACTAAATTTAAAGAAATTAAAAGAAAAAATAATAGAGATACAATAAGCAAATCTCTATTTATAAAGTATATTTTTCATAAGATTCTTCCTGGACATCATGCCTCTCAAAGCCACACATACATTCCTAATAACAAGTATGGCAGCACGAAAGTCCTTAATATTTAATACGATAGCTTTTGATATCAGATACACTTGTATTTTATACCCTTCCTTTACGTATGTGTTTTGGTATAAAGTGGAAGGATTTTGCGTTTGAGATGAGAGCTGAGTTTTACGACGGTCGTTACGTTGAATCCGGCGGAATAGATAATATACAAAATGTTATGGCTCGGAATATGTGATGTTTAATCTGGAGTGGCCCGTAATCCGTAATAGGTCTACGTGTAATGTGAGGCGTAGGCTAAGCATACACATTCGCTTGAGTAGGATTATGTAATGTATATACATGGGTAGGAAGGTAATATAAATGTGTGCAGATTTGATGAGACTAATTAATCATTTAAGTGCTTTTGCAACCTTAGGATGTGCGGCTATGGTAGGCGGAGGCATAAAGCACACACAGCAGCGGGATGACTGTGCCGTAGGAATAATACTCACTTTGCCTTTATAATAGTTTCAAGTAGGGTAGAGCGGGGCTAGTTGAGCATAGGGGCAAGTTGAGCAATCGAAATATCTTGAAAACCAATCACCGTCCGTTTAGGCATTATATGGCGGAACGATAGAGGTTTGGGAGAAATAAACATCCCGCGATCGCAAGTGGCCGCTGGACAAATGAGTGAGGCTCACGGGCGTTTTGTTTATTTTGAGACCAAAAAGTAAAAAAGTCATTCATCACGAGTTTTCGTCTGGTTTAATCAAATGTTATTTATTTTTAATCGGGTAAATGTTATTCTTCCATATAATTATAGTACATTTAATATGCACAGAGATTCTGGGTATAATTCTCACGTTTTTTTATAAACTCACTTTTATTTTGAAATTCCAAGTTGGGGTTAGTTGAGCATAGTTGCTAAAGTTGTTCTGTCACTAAGACAATTACCATTAACTTCCAGAAATTAATTATTATTTTTAAGACTTAAGCTAAGTCTATGAGTAATAATATAAAGAAATAATGATTTTAAACAAAAATACTTAATATATTGGTAAAATAATTCCTTTGATTGATTCTCCTTTTCGTTAATTATTCAAAGCAAATTACTATAAGTTTTGTTTTCTCTGTCAATAAAGACTATAAATATAGAACTGGTTATTAAAAACTTATTTAATTTCATCATTAATCGACATTGAACCTATGATTTCATTATACTTTCTTAGTGCTCAACTTGCCCCACCTATGGGGTACATTAAGCATACTTGACTTTTTGCATTTAAACAGCTGTAGCTTTTAAATTTTACTTATTACCAAAAAATAGTATTAATAGTTTTGTTAAGCAATAAGCAACAAATCTATTAAGCCGTATAGCAATTTATTGAGACTTTTCATTCAGGAGCTACATCCGTTTAAGTAAAAAATTTGCTCAACTAGCCCCGCCCTACCCTACATTCGCTTTATAACGTACAGTCTAACAAATTAGAAATAATTTAGATGAATAAAGTGCAAATTTAATATAAAGTAATAAACAATTTACTACAGAGAAGCTAGGAGCTTAAAGTATCAGATTCAAAGTAATTTTTTAAAGAGATTGTACGAAATAATAGTTACATTATTTAACCAACATGAAATACGAATTGTGAGGGAACATTTTGAACAAAAGGACTTCATGATAAGTGAAATCTTCAGGATCTTACGCTGAATATATTACAAATATCACCGATAAATTTTCAAATTTTATCCTGTTCTCAAAAGTCCTGCGCTTCTTTTTTGCTCATTCATGTGCGTCGCTCGCGCGTGTTTTTGACACCGACGGTGTAACGGAAACACTATAATTCAACATGGCAACTTGTTTCCGGTCAGACAAGTTTTGTTCGAAGGGTCAAACGATCGCACTTTTGGGTTTAGTTGTCCGTCCGCCTAGATCTATTTTTTGTTAAAAAATTCTAAGCTGGGCGTGCCATACATCACGAAAATCATCAAAGCTTTGCAAATCGTGTGAGATTTCCGAGATGAAAATTAAATATTTGTGCAAAATGTGTATTGTTAATTGTATTTGTTATTAACTTTCCGTAGGGTAAGTTATTGAAATCGTTCAAAAATCGAAATTACAAATTTTACATTTCTCGACGTTTTGAAGGTTTCTAAACATTTTGGCACACCTCAGAAAAAATTGATGTGTGTGTGAGCGTGTTTTGTGCGTCCGAATTTTTTCGATCACGTTTTCGGGCGCACGGATCAACCGATTTGAATGATTCAAAAAATATTCGATTCCTATTAATAGGGAGATGTGTTGATTAGTTTTTAGCAGAGGCGGGTCCAGTAGTTACAGAGATAAAAAGCAAAGAGTGCAGAAAAAAGAAATCGAGTTTTTGAGAGAACGGGGCATCCTATTTAAATGATCTAAAAAAAACAATCAATTAGTAATGATTGGGAGAAGTGGTTATTAGTTTTTGGCAAAGGCAGCCATTTCAAAGATACAGAGCTAAATGTGCCAAAAATGGCAGTTTTTGAAAGAACTAAGCGTCCTATCTAAATGATTCAAAGAACTTTCTGCTTGTTTTAATAAAATAGTTGATTTTGAAAAAAAAGTTGTGTTTCAAAAAATAGTTTTTTCAATTATTTTTTAAAAAAAAATTTTTTTTTTGTATATCGAAAATAATTCAGATTTTATTTTTAATTCTGACTATAGTTCTAATATACTTTAAACAAATAATTTCAACTTTGCAATTTAATTTATATAATTCTTATAAATATTAGACAATGTTACAATATTTATAATAATCTATTTGAAAACATTCAATATTCCTCGAACATTATGGTACGGAAAGTTCCAGCAATTTGCCTTAAGACACGAGGCCATACACCTCACTAGTTTGTATTTGTATGAGTGCACAAAAATTAAGAAAAATAAAGGGAATTGATATATGATAGTAAAAATATGACATATATTTCTTTAAGACGATATGAAGTTTTTTTTCAACATAATATTTACAATTGTTCTACATGGACTCTCAGTGAATATTTGGCGATTATTAAACATTAGTATATAAATAGTTAAAAATGCTCAGTTGAATAAGAATACGAATTAGAATAAGAATTACAATGCCAAAGCAATAGCCTTGCCAAATAACGTTTTAGCCCATACTTTAATATTTCATATCGTAAAATTATACGTTTAACAATACGATTAGTAAGTGAGATATGCTTCAAATAATTTTTTTTTGTTATTTGTCTCTATTGAGAACATTAAAAATCTAATTTATAATTTATCTATCTATTTAACAAAGAAATTGCCTAAATAAGAAGAAACTTCAAAGTATACCTGACTTTTATTTTTTGCGAGGATCATCTGACTGATGCAAGACAAGGTCAAAATTGGGATTGTCTCGGAAGACCGAACACGAAATAAAATATTCTTTTTTTTTTTACAAAAAAAAGGCAAAGATAATAAGAGAAGAAGGCTGCGCAACATATGTCGTAACAATTTGCTTGTGACTTTTGGCAACATTCGATTCTTTGGTTGTGTTTGCGTGTTAAAAAGTTATATTGATATGCTTTATATTGTAAGAAGAATTGAAACAAGTTAATTAAAAACAAGGATAAATCTGTCTTTTGAAAGTAGGATCATAAGATAACTTAAATAATCAATTATTAATAATTTAAATCAAAAATAGTTGTAATATATTACTGTGTTTATAAACATACAGAGAGTCCCTAAATTAATCCAATATTTGTTCATCAAATTTTTCTATTTTTCTCATGACCCTGCGATCAACGTTACAGCTGATTAAATTTATATAATTACTTAATATTTATTGACTGACCTTTCCGTGTTCTTTATCAAAATCGCATTCCCTTTCGGTTTGCGTGTACCCGCCGCTTGAAAGTCCGGCGTTAAAACCAACTGCAAATTCGTGCCAGTAGCGGCAAAGGCGATCTCCGTGCGTCCCTCGCGGCATCCGTTTTGGAAGCGAACTTGACGCTCTTCCTGAGGCCGATCGCGGAAGCCTGTGTATCTTATCTGTCGAGAAAAAAAATAGCATTTAGGAAGGAATCTTGCAACATATTTATCTAGTCATTTTGGATAATTGGCGTTAATTGTTAGTTTCTAAAACAAATCGTTAATGTTGCTAGGGATAATGAATAATCAATTTATTACTTTCATTCAAAATCTAATTAGGTAAAAATTAATTATTGCAAAAAAAACAACAGGAAACCACATAAGCTTTCGCTAACGGTATCGCACAAATATAACGCAATTAGTATTTCGGTAATGATATATGATTTTTTGTTCTGGTGTCATTACGACAACCTCTTGTCTTGATTACAAAAACCACGTCTAATTTGATATTTGTTTTTTAATGAATTAGAAGATAATAGTCATCGGTGTAGTTGAGAATACGTTGGACGATGCTGTAATAACTTTTTTTAATCAGAATAAAACTTTCTTCTTCGAGAAATAATATTGTGGATAGATTTTGTTATAGAAGGAGAGCTGGGGGAACTATTTGGCATAAATTTTATGACACGAGCATTATGAAACGCTTGGTTTAACGCTTGAAGTATTAATGATATACATTTTTTATACTTATTGTTAGTTAGACACTTCAAATTTTGTCCTTAAGGGGCACAACTAGTGTAACCACCTTAAAAAAGGAAATTTTAGGGAATTTATATTAGAAAAACTTCTTTATTAGTTATTTCAAAATTTTAGGAATATATTTATACATGTTTTAAGAATACATAGTAAAATTTTTAAGCAAAAAATTAAATATTTTTTAAGTTATCGTCGATCTCCAACGGCGCGACAAAAAAAGCCCTTCACAAAAAAAAACAATTTTACCAAAATTTCGGTCGTTTTTGGACTGCCATAACATATTTCGATACTATAACCTATCGAAATATGGAAAAATTGAAAATTCGATTTTTTGAAAATTTCACACTAGTTGTGCCCCTTAAAAATTGTTAAATCTTATCCTTCAATTGTTATTTATATCCTTAACTTGTACATTTTATCCTAGTAAAAATACTAGTCAATATTGAATTTTATGAAATAAGCAATATGAAACATTTGATGTTGAAGAACTAAAGACAAAGAGGCATATTTTCCCCTTATCTAATTGGTATACACTTCACAACTTTTCCTTAAAATTTTGTATTAAAAATTGGATAATTAAAAAATTAACGTCCCAAAATAATTTTGCAATTTAGTTTATTCTTGGTTACCTTAACTTTCTCTTTCGTTTCGAGTACAAGTTGTTTAAACAGCCTGATATCATCCCAAATCATGATTACATAGTATCCGTTCAAATTAATTTATTTTTGAATTATTGTGTATCTAGTATAAAACACATAAATAAAAATGCTTGTGACACATCAAATGTAAGTATGCGTCATGTGTTGATTCGCGGTATAAAAGTTGGTACAATCACTCTGGTATTTCCTTTTCATAAGCATTTACATATAAATCTCGTTTATACATTTGAGCGCATCTCGACGTAGTAGTGTCTCTCTACTGTCTTCTTCAGTGGGTCAAACTTCAGTGATTTAGGTAATATTTTTTTTTACTTTTAGATAAATAGATATATAATTAATTTATCTTTTTTTTGTTAATATACCTGCACAAAAGAAATACGAGTCAGTTGTCATATTTATGTATCCTATAATTGAAATTATAAGTAGACTAGCTTTAAGCTGTTTCAACTCACATCTATCTTTTCTCAAAGTAAATGGAAATTTACAGATTGATTTAAAGATTAACTAGTGAGGCGCATGGCATCTTGCCTTAAGGCAAATTGCTGGAACTGGATTAACATTTTTGAAAAAATTTACTCTGAAAAATTAGATTTTTGAACAAACATTTTCATGTTACCGTTAATTTTTTTAATTAATGAATATTTCTCAAATTTATAATTAGGGAACAATCAATATGTTGAAATCCATAGTACGATTTAGTTCTAAATAAAACGATTGTATAATATACTTTCAATTAAAGTTAAATAAATTTGTTTTGATAAATAAAACATAAAATTGCGCCTGCAATTTCCAAATTTAGCATTATTTGTACGTATTTGGATTGTTTGTACATATTATATTTATATTTATATATATATATATATATATATATATATATTATATATATATATATAATTATTTCTGTGTTAGGTAGAAATCCCCGTGAATGAGTGTTCCAGCTAATTGATATGCAAACAAGCAACTCGAAGCGTTTGAATAAAAATGCGTTGAAAAGATTTGTTTCAATATTATGTATATAAGCATTCTAAGAACGAATGACGAATTATAATTAATGAATTTTTATTTATTGACTTTTCTCTTTGTATTGGCTAATATAAGCAAGGACGTCGTTAATTTGTATATAGAAACAGAGAAATCAAATAGATGCATTTGTTTTTATAGTTAATTATCCTATTCATCATGGTAGTTTGTAATGAAGTCTTGAAACGCTTATTTTCATTAAACGCGAAAACAATTTAATTAGCTACTTGGTAAATAGTTTTTTGCAATTAATAATATAAAATAATTGATCTATTAGTTCAATTAAAAACCTGTTACTTATGCAAGCACCAGTAAACTATATTGATTGTAGTTACTAGGTGTTCTAATTAAAATCGATTATCAGGATGACAATAAAATTTACTCATTGATCTCAAGGATCGGCGTAAGTTTACTTATCAATTAAACTTATTACCTCCAAATTATAACAAAGAAATTTATCAAGTTCAAATATAAAATTATAATATAATATAAATAAGACATAATATAAATTTTTTTAATCAGATTTCGCAATACTATCGGCATACATAATTTTTCAATCGATTTTCTTATTCTCCTTCTATAATTAAAATGTTTTAATGTCAAATAAAACCAAGTGAGACGTTTAGAATCATTTAAACGATTCTATAATTGCAGTAAACAAGCTATAAATGTATTCTGATCATTCGTTTTACTTTACTACTCCGATTGCATGACGTGACTTGTTTTTTATTCGTTTTATTGCTTTTCAGGTCAATTAATTTTAATGACACTGAGTAGACAAGAATATTTAAATTTGTATAAATATTTATGAATAGGCAATATAAACTAATTGATTTACAATCAGAATGAATAAAATGCTGAAGAAACTAAAATCCTAATATCTTAATAGAAAATAGAAAAAATATCAGGATATTTTAAATATATTTTTGTTTTAAAATTGCTGATTATTGATAACAGGCTGATAAATCTGTCTTTTTTGTGCCTAGTTAATAAGTTAAAATAGATATGATGAAAAATTAATTCATTTAAATTTTGACCTTTCCGACAATTATTAATACTAAAATTGAAACAAATTAAAAGAAATACACATTGATTTAGATTAAATAGCAAAATTATCAGAATAATTATTGTAAAAATATATTTTCTATATTGTTTTTTAAAACTCGCTTTACAGTATTCAAAACATAGATTTTTGACAGAGAAAAAAAACATATTTTATGCATTGTCCAAATATTGTTACAACATATTAATATTTAAAATAAATATATGAAGCACTTTGAAAATAAAAACTAATATTTCTCTTGAATTTTCTAGTGTGAAGATCTTCAAATTAAATTTATGATGATATGATATGATGAAAAATTAATTCATTTAAATTATTTATACACAATTATTAATACTTGTTACCTTGAACTTTACTCATAGTCTATACAAAATTGCAACAAATTAAAAGAAATACATATTGAATTAGATTAAATAGCAAAATTATCAGAATAATTATTGTAAAAATATATTTTCTATATTGTTTTTTAAAAATCGCTTTACAGTATTCAAAGTAAATATAGATTTTTTGACAGAGAAAAAAAAAACATATTTTATTCATTGTCCAAATATTGTTACAACATATTAATATTTAAAATAAATATTTGAAGCACTTTGAAAAGAACAACCATTATTTCGCTCTTGAAATTTCTAGAGAGATGAACTTCAAATTAAACTTTCAATGCATTTCATAAATGTAGTGAATTGTTAACAGGATTTAAAAAAGATTTAATAAATCAATGCACTATTACAAATAGAAATAACAAAATTACTCTATATTGTGTTAAAATTGTGAAAATATACTGGACAATAGATAATAGACCAGATAATAGGTCAAAATAAATATAGATTTTTTGACAGACGTAGGGATGACCATATATTTTTTGCATTTTCCATATAGTGTTAAGGCATATTTAAAATTAATATATTAAACACTTCAAAAATAATCTTATCTTTTATACATAATCACAGCAAGAAGCCTGTCACAGCCAGACAAGCAAATATAGATGTTTTCCAACAGTAGGCCTCCATACAACAATTAAACTAAAGGTTTTTTTTTATTTAAATTTACCAACCTCACTTTCCCGGCTGAGACGTCTGAACAATTCATCAGATTCAAATTTTCCTTTTTGATCCGCACACTCTCGCATTTGAAAATAAACCTAGTTTTAGGTTGTTCGTACAACGCAATTGGGCTCAAAAGGCAACACGCTGCCAAAATCGAAGGATCGTTCTGGCTTGCATTTTGAAAATATTAAATTTAACACAAACTCAAAAAAAACTGTCTTAAGCACTGATAAACACCAAGTTAGAATAACAACTGATTTAAACGTATCACGACGGGCGGGTAGGAAAAACTGATTAATTTAATACGATGATCCAACATAAAATCAATCGCCTATCTCTCAACCGCACCGTGGTCTGGTCGGAACCGTACTGAAGCGGTTCGACCGAATGTGTCCTGAGCTAACCAGAAGCGCCGCCTCGATGTAGGGTGTGGTTAGCGAAGAGACCAGGGAATGGTGCCTGGTGGGGCGTGAGGACAAATTCAATTGAATAACATTGAAGAAAAAATAGAAAACGAAAATGAAGCAGCTAAACGAAATGCATGAATGAGCTTTTGAATGACAACGTGTATTACGTACGTTGTACAAAGTACAGATGTATTCTGTGCAAGGATTGTTTTGTGCTAATAGAGCTGAATTTTATACAATGATACGTATTTTTTGTCAAAGGTGACGTATTGAATATCCTATTATCTCGTGAAGCTTGAAGTTTTAGATAGATAGATATAACCAAACAAATAGGGTGGTGTTAGAAATTTGTCATATTATTTGATAATAAATAAATTTTGTCAATTCATGATGTTGTCAACCATATTCGCTTTATATTTCACATAAATAAGTTTTGTTTTTACTTGAAATAAATAAATTTTGTTAATTCATAATTTTGTCAATCATAGTATGATCATAGTCGCTTTATATTTCACACAAATAAGTTTTGTTTTTACTTGTACAAAGCTATGATCTTGGAAAGGTTGTAGTTTTAAATGAATAGATATAACCAAACAAATAGGATGGTGTTGGAAATTTGTCATATTATTTGATAATAAATAAATTTTGTCAATTCATGATTTTGTCAACTATATTCGCTTTATATTTCATATAAATAAGTTTTGTTTTTACTTGTACAAAGCTATTATCTTGGTAAGATTGAAGTGTTAAACTCGTTGCGTGTATGGCATCGTGCCTTAAGGCAAATTGCTGGAACTTCCCGTACCGTAACAAAATTTTCAAGGAATACTGAATGTTTGGAAATAGATTATTATTAATATTGTAACATTGTCTAATATTTATAAGAATTATATAAACTGAATTGCAAAGTTGAAATTATTTGTTCAAAGTATATTAGAACTTTAGTCAGAATTAAAAATGAAATCTGAATTATTTTCGATATACAAACAAAATTTTTTTGGAAAAAAAATTGAAAAAAAAAGTTGAGACAAATTTTTATTTCCAAAATCAATTATTTTGTTAAAAAAAGCAGAAGTTTTTTGAATCATTTAAATCGGAGACGCTTAGTTCTCTCAAAACTGCCATTTTTGCACATTTAGCTTCGTATCTTCGAAATGGCTGGGCCTGCCTTAGCCAAAATCTGATAAACACTTCTGGCAATCATTACTAATTGAATGTTTTTTAGAACATTCAAATCGGATGCTCCGTTTCTCTCAAAA